TGAATACTTTCCGTACCCACTGTGTATATATATATATATATATATATATATATATATTAAGTTATATTTTCCCAAAAGAAAATGCAGCATACAGCTTATTTTTATTTCTGTCATGACAACTCTCGGAGGGATTGGCATGGTAATGTACATGACAATGTTAATGTATTTGGTCTTGGCGGAATAGATCTGCTACGCTGCTGCTGCTGCTGCAGAGCAAGTACCGAGACTTGCTACAGCCAATACATCCACAACATGCTGCTGTAAGCATGTAAGAAATACTGCTGCTGCACATATAACACATATGAATAACCCCCATATAGCATACATAAATCACCCCGTAGCAGATCTATACAGATAGAGCTGGGGAAGGTGGAGGGTTTTTGAAGTGCGCTGCCAACTGCTACAGCAAACAAATGCCAGGTATTTGGATATTGAGCAGCGAGCTCATTGGCTACCGATACAGGAAAGAACCAATCAGCTACCATGTGACAATGATGTCACCAGGTCAGACTGAGCTAGACCTATCGGACTGTGCCATCTAGAGTTTCATGCCAGAACTCTGTATATATAATTTTTGGAGTTGTGACCTTGTTATAACAATTAAGCATTTTCATTCTCAATAGATTTTCATTAATTTTAAGGCAAAAAAGTACTACTTTTAGGCTGATTTGAATAAAAAATGCAGATAAAAAATGTTGCAATGCAGTTTTTTTGGATGAAATATGTCTGTTGTTACTGAGATTTACTTCACTAAGTACACTATTCATCTACTGTTCTAACATTTGACTTTTTTTAAATGAACTTTTATTCAGTAAGAATGCATTAAATGGATTAAAAGATTCTTTTTCAAATAAATGCTTTTTGAGCTTTCTAAGAATCCTGAAATCATGTGTCGTGGTTTCCACAAAAATATTTAGCAGCACAGCTGTTTTCAACGATTTGAATTTTGAACTTTTGAACAGTAGTTATTAAACAACGTGTAATGTTGTTTGGTTCCCAGGCACTAGCAGACATGCTGAAAGTGAACACCACTCTGAAGAGTCTAAACGTTGAGTCAAACTTCATTACTGGAGCTGGAATTCTGGCGCTCGTGGAATCATTAAAGAGCAACACTACACTGCTGGAGCTAAAGATCGACAACCAGGTACACACACATACATACACAGATTAAAGTCATATGAGGTCTGAGCCATTATCTGTACTGATCACAGGAGTAGCAAAAGAAGGACTGAAGAGTTATTATAACTTGTGTGTTTATGTGTGATACAGAGCCAGCCTTTAGGTAATAAGGTTGAGATGGAGATAGCTAACATTTTGGAGAAGAACACTACTCTGCTGAAGTTTGGATACCACTTCACCCAGCAGGGCCCACGCTTGCGTGGATCTAATGCCATGATGAACAACAATGATCTGGGTAAGAAACACACACACTGAGATAGATGCGGTCGACTTTGGTATTTGTATGTGTATTTCAGAATTAACATTTATTGATGCTAATTGCGTATATTTGTTTCAAAATGCATAACTGTGTGTTTGTATGCTGGCTTTGCTGAAATAGGTACTCTACCATTTAACAGTTCGGTTTGTGGGAGATTTTTGAATGTTTTT